ATAGAGGTGTAATCTCTTTTGTAAGACAAACAAAACTTGAATTTGAATACAAGTGAGATTTTCTCAAATAAGCGAATTTCTATTCCAGTTCTTTAAAGTCACTAATTAATATAAAAATCTACATTGATTTTTTTTTATCTTTTCTATTTTTTTATACATCTTTTTACTTTTTTGTTTTTTTTATCTAAGGAAAAACAATCTAAAAAAAAATTAAATCGCCCTTAAAATCAGAAAATTAGATTTCCTAAAACTATATGAACATGATCTCAAAACAATTCGACTAAATCTACTCATAAAACCTAACCACATAATTGAGACCTATATTTTCTATCATTTTTTTTTTCATTTTCGATTTATTTATTTATTATTCTTATTTCTCCCTCTTTTCTTATTCGGTGCTTCATCTATTCCTACAAACACGAACTCTGAACATCTTCCTTCTTCCTTCTTCCTTCTTCCTTACGAGCAACCAATCAAATCCGAAATCCAATTCTGCAACCACTCGGAGATCTTGACTCAAACAGACGAAGGCATTCATGTATGCTAACCGCCAAAACCCCCATCAACCGCCGGCATGAACACAAAATATCTACACAGAAGCAATGCGTGCTCCGTTTCATTCTCGGTAATAGCTAATGAAAACGATTGGCATCATGTGCATTGTGTTCGAACGACTCCAGATCCGGATAATAACATAGACTTGCTCGTAGCCATATCTCAGAGACATATGAACAAACAGGTTGCGTGCGTTCGACTGGGGAATGAGATGAAGCCTGGCTAACTCGAATTTAAGACCAGGCTTCATACGAACTCAGTTCAGGACATATAAAATCAGCGAGATAAACTCAAACGCAGCAGAGTCTTAATAGAGAAGATGAGACCTCGTTTTTTCCACCTTCACAGAACAGGGTTAAGATATTACCGGGGCAAATGAAGCCAAGTGAAGCCGCGAGTGGCGATCGGATCGGTGACAGAAGCTTCCGTGATCGACGATGATTGAAAGCAGGACCGGAGGAGGTACCTCGAGCGAGATCCAGACACTCGGCCGCGGAACAGAGCGTGAAAGGGGAGCGATCGGCGAACTTTGGAGGCGGCGAATGACGTCACTCGCCGGCGGCGACGACGTATGGGGAATGATGTGAGCTCCAGCTCTAATGGATGGGCCTGATTTCTTTAAAACAGTTCAACTTGACCCAGTTTGAGCACGGATTTGGGCCTGGTCATGCGTGGGCTGCGCCAGATGGGCCGATCTCCCTTTATTTATTTGTTCAAATGTTTATTATTATTATTATTATCATTATTTTTGTTTTTTATTCTCGCAAAAAGTGTCCCACTTGGTTAGTCGGCAAAAGTTCGGGTATCAACAATCATGACTTAAAAACGAGATTTCAACGGTATTTGATAACACTTAACGATCACAACAACGCTATAAGATAATTATTACAACACCAACAACATTTATTCAATTGCCAAACAACTCGTAACTCTGGTCACGCTCTTTAAACTTGATCAATCCTCCTCCATTCACTCTTGGAATTGATAATTCTCGTACCTCATTCTACAATATTTGAGCTGCACTTGCGCCCCGGTGTTATCCGGGCACCCATTTGCGAGGTCGTACCTGGCATTTTCCAAGCACAGATTGCAATCAAGACGAGAAAGGTGCCCAGCACAAGCTGCATGGCCATAGTAAATTTGGCCTGATTCCGTAGCTTGAGTGTAATAGTTGTAGACATTACTTGACGTTCCCCTGCTAGATCACCAAGGACACGATCCACATTACGGCCGTAAGCACCAAAGGGGGGAATCTTGATTCCATTGCAAATTTTGTACATTATGGTCGTGTCGGGTAGACTGTATACGTTGACGCAGATGCAAAAGAACCAAATTTTAATGGATAGGATTCTCCAGAAAGCAGACATTGCCTATGTGTAGCTCCTTAATGTGCTCTAAGCTTGCTTTTTAAGGAGTTCGCTCATGAAAATGATGATTTGTTGCGTCTCCTTCTAGTGCTATATAAAAAGGTGGTCCATGCAAATCATCATAATTCCCGATAGACGTAGGATGTTACAGTTTATAATGTCGTTCTCAATGGTCACGTTTTCCAACATGTTTGCCTAGTAGTTATCACTTAAATGAATATTAAATGCCCCTCCTTTGTCTATGAGCATTATATGTTGAGCATTCTCTTCCATCTTCGGCAAGAGGAATCTTCCATCTACCTGCTTATTAGTCTTGGCTTTGACATTCTTGGTATTCAAGACCACTTGTTTAGACCAAAACACAACCAAGTCTTTTGTAGTCGCATAACACCGATCTGAGTAGATGTAAGCTCGGTGATGTCATCGATAATGAAAACATTTGTTGATGACCATAAGCAATGATTATCGGTGACCGTGATATACAGCTGTTGATGTACAATAGCAATTGGTCGAGATTATCATTTGCCACATTTGGCTAAGTGTTGGACACCCGGCAAAGAAGAGAGGAGGCAAAGTGAAGATATTGATCAAAGGCGAGGATCCTGAGTGAAGGGTAATGCAATAGCATCTCAAGAGTTGTAATAGCTCATGAATAAGGGTCGATGTGCATAGAGAAAACTCGAAATCTCGAGAAAGCACATTCAAGGTAATTAACTGCTAATAGACGGTTATGATTATTGAAGTATAAAGGGCAGCGTATGATTATTCTAAAGGATTATATTAGATTAGAATCCATCCATTGTCATGAATATTTGTCTTTCCAATGTGTTTTTACTAGTTTTAATGTCAATTCAATCTCCCTCATTTACTATCTCTTTTAGCCTTTAAATTTGCTGTTCATCTTCTTGATTAAACCATTGCAAATTCTTGTCCGAGATCACCACTGAACTCTTATCACATAAAACCAAAGATCAAACCTTTGGTGAAGAATTGTTCACCCTCTAGGTCGATAACCTGTTTCTGGGGTAACACCGGTCTATATTTTCCTTCTAATCACATATTATCTAATCTAATTTGAATTGTTTAGATACCGCCTCATGTCCACATGTGTACACGCACGCGTGTGTAATATAATTATTATCATTTTCAAATTGCATAATTTATATATATATATATATGCGACGATTTCAATTTCAATAGTAGTATCTCCAATGATAATTAATGGGGAAATCAGTTTTTACGGGGCGGTGTTAAGAGATTGAGACGAGCAACATCAAAATCCAACATTATAATCTCCCAAAACTTCTTACCAAAGAAAAAAAATCTCCCAAAACTTCTCTCAAAGCCTTCATCTTCTTCATCATCTGCTTCGCCTTCTACAAGAAGACACAAATAACGGACAGTTGTTGCATCAAGCTCGTGAAGATGGGCAAGCTCTGCAACATCGAGATGTCTTACGCGCTCTCGGAGGTCAAGAAGTTCAGGCCTCGGAGGGGCCACATCTACGACAAGATCCACGAGGCTTTCGACAAATGCGAGAAGAGAAATGGACCTTCCTGTGTCCTCCTAGGACTGGAGTGTCTCTTGTTCAGGTAAGTGTACTCCTCCTGTTGACTTACAGTAATTCTTCTGATATAGATCACCAGAAGATGTATGTACAAAATCAGTTTTAGCCAAATCCTCTTCCAGCAATCCTATAATGGAAACCTTTTTCTATATTTTTATTAAATTAGTCATAAATTCGAGTCCATGGCACTTTTAGTTCTTCAATTTCATGTATCAGATAAATCAGTGTGGCCAGTGAGGAAGTGTTCAATGGTCTACTTGATCCCCATTGTAAACCAAATGCACGATCTCATCAACAAGAATGGGGAAGAATATAAAGAAAGGACTAAGAAAAAGTAAGAGCTTTTCATCGAACATATAACAAGTTATTTCATCGACAATGTGATGATGAGAAATAGATTAGAGAGGGCATGCAGTAGAATCAGCAGGTGTTATCTCCTGGTTTTATAGATGACCCAACGGGGTATATTCAAAAGAGTGACCTGGATGACGAACTTGCTCAGACATCTTCAATGGTTTATGCTCCATCAGAACTCAAATTGAACTCCTAGACAGAAATTGCAATTTGCAGACTTGCCTGAAAATGAGATTGATCAGTTGCAGCAAGTCGATTGCTTTAATTTTTTCCTGTAAAAAACCTTCATAAACCTTTCATGCTGGTAAAAGTACAGATAAAGAAGGTTGTTAAAGCTAAAGTTTACCTGGACTTAGAAATTGTTGGCTTTAGATTCAAGTTTTATCTCCTGCACCTTGCCTATTTTCTCCGCTATACTTTGTACCAAATCTTCTGACACTCTCCCTGGAGGGAGCCCCGAAAATGAACCCAAAATACACAGTGCATGAATTCATAGCAGTGCTCAGGAATGTCAGGGTCGCATTGTTGGAGAACCAGTAAATTGCTAGAGAAGGACTAAGGACCATTTTCCAACACCCTTTTCTTTTCTGCAACTGAGTTGAAAGTGAACGAGAAAAACCCCGGTTCAATTGGCACGCACACAATAGTTTCCGACTTCCATGCCTTTTTCATAGTGTTTATGAAGGTTTGGACATTCACATTTGGCTTTGAGTAGAGTTTCCCATATACTATTAAGTCACATTGACGCTGTCCATATTAAGAAGCAATCATGTGCATATTGTCAGAAGCGGACCTTAAACCGCACGGCTCCTCAGGGTACTTCCAAGAGGGACTAGTCATGATACCTTCCTTTTTTTGTTGGCTCTCTCTGACGATTTGCGGATTTCATTTCTGAAAGGTAAGATTCTTCGCGGCTCGACCACGACGAAGAAAGAAGAAAAAGAATAGTTCCATTTCTCTTCTTGAAGTAAAGAATAGGTTCCCATATTCTTTCCTTCCTTCATCTTCTAGCCAGAACAATCGAAATAAATATAGCGGAGCTTATCGAACGCCACCCATCCGCCCGCTTTCCAACCAGCTTTTTTTTTTTTTATCGAAGCTTTCCAACCATCTTAATAGTCGATTTTTATCTCGATCTCTTATCTCGGAAAGAATCTATGGAAGTTGACACAAATCCTGTTTCAGTACTCGTCAGAGAGTTATGGGGCTTGGCCAGCAAACCTTTGGGTTACATTTATAATCTTAAAGATTATGTCGACTCTCTGAAGAACGCAACTGAAGACCTGAAGGCCGTGAATGAAGATGTGAAGGCAAAGGTGGAACGTGAAGAAGAAGAAGCACATGCGCAGCGCACGAAACAAGTGGCGATCTGGCTAGGCAAGGTGCAAGAATTTGTCGGTGGAGTAGATCAAGTTCTTCGGGAAGCCGGGGAACGCAACCGAATCAAATCTCTCCATCGTTTTCTTCCACGGAACTGCCGGTCGAGCTATAAATTGGGGAAAAGAGTCGATCGATTGCTCAATGAAGTGAGACAGCTCCAACATGAGGAAGGAGAATTTAACGTTGTGACGTTGCCGTCGGTTTTTTCGATCGTGGGGCTTGATATTTCCCTTAATAAAGTATTAAGATGGCTTGTACACAAAAATCAAGTAAGAGTGATTGGGTTGTATGGAACAGGCGGTGTTGGAAAGACCACCCTCATGAAAATGATCAACGACGAACTTTCCCGCGCAAATCATGGATTCGATATCGTTATTTGGGTGGTGCTGTCCAAGCGAGTGAATGAAGATAAAATTCAAGATGTCATATGGAAAAGGCTGCACATTCAAGATGAGAGATGGGATCAATGGTCCCACGATGAGAGGGTCCATCATCTGTTCAAAGATTTGATCCGGAAGAAGTTTGTGTTGTTGATTGATGATGTATGGTGCAGGCTGGACCTTTCAAAGATAGGAGTTCCTCATCCTAGTCTTGAGAACGGATCCAAAGTAGTGTTCACAATTCGGTTGAAGCGTGTTTGCGACCAAATGGGAGCCGACAAAATGTTTGAAGTACACTGCTTGGGGCCTGAAGAAGCCCTGGAATTATTTGAGAACATCGTCGGCAAATCAACTATGCAATTTCATCCAAAAATTCCAGAGCTCGCAAAGGACATTGTCCAAGAGTGCAATGGGTTGCCACTAGCCCGTATTACCGTCGGGCGAGCCATGGCCGGCAAAATGAATCCCTATGAGTGGATGCATGCGCAAACAAGGCTTAGTAACAATCCGTACAAGCTGTCAGGTATGGTGGAGGAAGTGTATCACATACTAGAGTTCAGTTGTAATAGCTTGAATGACTCTACCCTTCAGCTTTGTTTCCTTTACTGTTGTCTCTTACCTGAGGATTACCCCATAATAACGGATGAGCTTATTGAACTCTGGATTGGAGAAGGCTTGCTAGGAGGCACCGATGAGGTATACCGTATACGGGACAAGGGAGAGTCTATCCTAGGGGATTTAAAAAGGGCTTGTCTATTGGAAAGTGGGCTTAATTCATATGGACAACAGTATGTAAAGATGCACGACGTCATCCGCAACATGGCAACTTGGATCGCTTGTGATCGTGGGCAAAGGAACAACAAGTTGCTAGTGATTGAGACAGAAAAAGACATGTCCGCGGAGATGATCTCCAAATGGGGGGATGCGGAGAAAGTATCTCTATGGGGAGGATGGATTCAGAATATCGACCGAACACCACCCCAGTGTTCCCAGCTCCAAACTTTGTTTGTAAGGAAAACTTATGTGAGGTTCATGCCAAGAGGATTTTTCGACTCGATGACGGTTCGTTTGACGGTCCTTGACCTGTCCGACAATAGAAATATTAAGTTATTCCCCGAAGGGATTTGCAATCTAATTAATCTAAGGTACTTGAATCTGTCGGCCACCGGTATTAGGGAGTTGCCCAAGGAAATTATGAACTTGACTCGGTTATTGTGGTTGCTACTAGACGATACAACTGCAAGCTTCTTAATTCCGACAGGGGCAATCGCAAGCTTGCCGTTGAACGTGTTTAGCTAGTGGAAGTTGAATCAATTTTCGGAGGTGATACATGATTTTAGTGGTTATTACATGGATGCCAGACCAAGTCAGGCAAACGAAGAGGATATCATAGAGGAACTAGGGCACATGCAACACCTCACCAACTTATCTATCACTGTGTCTAAGTCCGTGCCCTGAAAATATTCCAATCCCCGAATCTACAAAGTGGCATAAGGAGAGCACGGATCATTGATAGCCAAAAGGACTTGACCCGCATTGTAATAAGATACTCACGAACAGACAGCGGCCGTTTCTTGCATTTAGAGGAGTTTTATCTACAGAGCTGTGATGTACTCAGGGAGATGGAGATTACTCAAGGAATAGGACAAGCGCCCATCTACTCTTGCTTCCCCAGACTAGTTATCATTTGGATCGAACGGTGCGGGCTTTTGGACTTGTCCTGGCTCAAGCATGCTCCAAACCTCCGGGAGCTGACGGTCACGAAATGCAATTTGATGAAGAAGGTCATTGGCGATGGATTTGCAGTGGAGGAATTAGGTACTTCAGGACTATTCTCACGTCTCGAAACCCTGAAAATCAGCTATCTTCCAAGCCTAACCAGCATTTATGACCAGACTCTACCTTTTCCTCGTCTGGTAATACTCAGCATAAGTAGGTGCCCTCGTCTCAGAAAGTTGCCGTTGGTCTCAAGTAGTGCGCAACAAAGGTTACACATGATCAATGCAGACGCCGACTGGTGGGCCAAGTTGGAGTGGGATGACGATGGCGCCCAGAAAAATTTCAACACAAAGTTCATTAGTAGGCCTGATCCACCACCTATAGAAAATACTATGCAAATTGATATTCCCAAGCTTTATGAAGTGTGGAAATGGCTCGTGGACGAAAAACAAGTAGGAATGATTGGGTTGTATGGAATAGGCGGTGTGGGAAAGACTCCCCTCATTACAAGGATCAACAAGGAGCTTTCTTGTGCAAATCATGGATTTGATGTCGTTATTTGGGTGGTGGTGTCTAGGCAAGTGAACGAATATAGGAAGGATGGTCTTGGGATGAGAGGGTCCATCATCTACAGGAAGATTTGACCTGGAAGAAGTTTGTGTTGTTGATTGATGATTTATGGGGGAGGCTGGACCTTTCGAAAATTGGAGTTCCTCGTCCTAGTCTAGAGAATGGATCCAAAGTAGTATTCACAAGTCGGTTAAAGCAAGTATGTGACCAAATGGAAGCCGACAAAACCTTCAAAGTACAATGCTTGACGCCCGAAGAAGCCCGGGGATTATTTGAAAACATAGTTGACAAATCGACGGTTCATTCTCATCCAGAAATTCCAAGGCTCGCAAAGGATATTGTCCGAGAGTGTAAAGGATTGCCACTGACCCTTGTTACAGTCGGGCAAGTCATGGCCGGCATGACAAATCCCCATCAGTGGAAGCATGTGCTAACAACGCTCAGGAACAGTCCGCACAAGTTGTTAGGTATGGTGGAGGAATGTTACCGCATACTAGAGCTAAGTTATATTAGCTTGAATGACTCTACCCTTCAGCATTGCTTCCTTTACTGTTGTCTGTTCCCTGAGGATTACCCCATTAGAACGCACAAGCTTATTGAACTCTGGATTGGAGAGGGCTTGCTAGGAGACACCAATGACGTATACAGTTTGCGGGATAAGGGAGAGTGTGTCTTGCGAAATTTAAAGATGGCTTGTCTATTGGAAAGTCAGATTGACTTAAATGGAGAGCATGTAAAGATGCACGGTGTCATCCGCAACATGGCGACTTGGATTGCTCGAGACCATGGGCAAAGGGAGAACAAGTTGCTAGTGATAGATAATGAAGAAGACATATCCGTGGAGATGATCTCAAAATGGGGGGAAGCGGAAAAAGTATCTCGTTGGGGAAGATGGAATGGGAATATGAAAACACCACCACCAGGTTGTTCCCAGCTCAAAACTTTGTTTGTGAGGGAAACTAAAGTGACGTGCTTGCCAAGAGGATTTTTTGACTCAATGACAGCTCGTTTGACGGTCCTGGACCTGTCTCGCAATGAACATATACAGTTATTCCCGAAAGGAATTTGTAATTTGATTAGTCTACAGTATTTGAACCTGTCAGGCACTCGTATCCGTGAGTTGCCTAGGGAAATCAAGAACTTGACTCGTTTACAATGGTTGCTATTAGATGATACACACGTGTGCTTCCTAATTCCGATAGGGGCAATCGCAAGTTTGCCGTTGATTATGTTCAGCCAGTGGAAGTGGATTCCAAATTGGAGTGTAATAGTTCCTAATGTTGGTTTTGCCACGGCAAGTGAAAGAAAAGGAGATCATAAAGGAACTTGGGTGCATGCAACATCTGACCGACTTATCTATTAATATGTTCGAGTCTTCCTCTGCCCTAAAAATATTCCAATCCCCAAATTTACGAAAAAGTATAAGGAGAGCGCGTATCATTGATCTCAAGATGGACTTGACCGGCATCGAAATAAGTTACTCACCAACAGACAGCGGCATTTTCTCGCATTTAGAGGAGCTTTATCTACAGAGTTGCCCTGTGCTCAAGGCGATGGAGATTGCTCAAGGAATAGAACGAGTGCTCAACTGCTCTTGCTTCCCCAGACTCATTATCGTTTGGGTTGAAAGTTGCAGGCTTTCAAACTTGTCCTGGCTCGTGCACGCTCCGAAACTCCGAGAACTAACTGTCGTGAATTGCGATTCGATGGAGAAGATCATTGGCGATGGATTTGCACAGGAGGAATTACCTGCTTCAGGACTATTCTCACGTCTTGAAACCCTACGAATCAGCAATCTTCCAACCCTAACGAGCATTTGTGACCAGACTCTACCTTTTCCTCGGTTGGAACAACTCTACATAGTAGCGTGCCCTGATCTTAGAAAGTTGCCGTTGCACTCGAACAGCGCGTGGGGAAGCTTGCGCTCTGTCCATGCGGACACCGATTGGTGGTCCAGGTTGGAGTGGGACGACGATGCCACCCGCGCCATTTTCACCGCCATGTTGTGTACGTTATCAGGTTATTTTACATTCCCTTCGTTCGACTGAGTGGGAATTCTTTCCTAGTTTGATACAATTCGTCTATTCGTTTGTTTCGTACTAAAGACATTTCTTATAAGCTTCCTCATTGAATTTCCTGTAATAGAATCCTTGGGGGCTTCAGAATTTGATGGTGTCTTTTCACTCAAATCTAAGAGTCTTCGTAAACCAGAGTATAGTTTTTTTGGTTTAAAACCATTTATTCACGTTATATTGAGCATTTTGTTCGTTTACGTTGAAGCGAAAACAGAAATCAAACCCAATAAACGTTGATAAGCGATTCGAATGAGAGTCGATAAAACCAAAACTAGTTGGTAAGTGAATGGGAGAAAAACTAGTGAGCCATACAAATAAAGGTCGGTATATTCATATCATAGTTGATAAATTCAAGGCTGTGAGAAAGACAAATAAAAGTTGATAAATAATAACAAAATCAATAAAAAGAAATAAAAAATCAAATAAACGTTGGTAAGTAATTTAAACGAGAGTCGGCAACCAAAAACTAATTAGTAATTTGATCGCGTGAAAAAACCGTTGATCCGTCACTCCAATAAAGATTATGTTAGTTTAGCAACTTCCAAAGTGTTTTCAGCTTTGACGACCTGAACATTAGTTATATTTGTAGGCTTATTTACGAAAATGGTATTTCCTTTTCCAAAAATGCCCCTGCCCAAGTCATCAAATTTCCCACGCCTGTCCAAACATACCCCAACCAAATCACAGCGCGACGACCGTCGCCACCCGCTTCCGCTGCCGACGCCGACGCCTCCTAGCTCACCATCGCCCATCGAAAGCCTTGGAGTCGTCGCCCGCCGACATTGCTCGCTGCGAGGCCCTCTCTCTCTCTCTCTCTCTCTCTCTCTCTCTCTCTCTCTCTCTCTCTCTCTCTCTCTCACGACCAGCCTCGGTTGAGCTTTCGCCATGGCTGCGCCGGCCTCCCTCAAGCCATGGGGGACCTCAGATCGACGTCCCCCATGGCGGCTCGCGACTACCAGTCCATGTCATGAGCCACGGTGAGGCCGATCGAGGTCGCCCATGGAGGTGGCAAGGCTCACCATCTCAGAGCTAAGCCGCGAGCCGCCGACAACCACGGATGACCTCTATGGACTTCGTACACAAAACGCAAGCTACATAGAGAGAGAGAGAAGCACGGTGACCAGAGGGGGAGGGAGGGTCGGCAGCGGTTGCGACGGCGAGAGGGGTCGGGTCGATGGTGGCAACGGCTGAGGCCACCCATGGGCCGGCGGCCGCGGAAGGTGGTTTGTAGGGGAGGGAAGATGTGGGGGGATCGTGATGGAGGTCAGGGTGTGTGTGAAACAGTATTTGAGTTTGGGAATTTTTAAAAGGGGGCAAATCTGGATTTTCCCACGGTCGGGTTTTGTCTAGTGATTTTATAAAATTGAGGTATGATTGCGCTCTTTCGATGGAAAAAATGATATTTATTTTTTCCAAGACTATATGATCAACACAAGGACAAATCTGCAAGCCAAACATTAATTATTTATAGGCACAACCAAATTAATTTACCTCCACACATGAACACACAATCAACTCGAGGAAGGCCTATTTGAAGATGGAGAATTACATACATGTATACATAAACTGGACTAGGAATTCCGATCTCTTAGTTTTACCGGGAAACAAAATAATGTTTTCTCCTGCTTTCTGCTTGGATAAAGCTTTAACCCGGTAATGAGCATGGTACTTATATTACGAACTTGAACTAATGTTTTAATAAGCAAAGTTATAGCACAATTAAGAGTTCTCTTACGAGAATATTTCCAACAAAATCAGTATATCGCTTTATATGAATATTTAATATATGATATTCTCTCTAAATAAAAAAATGTGTCCTCTCGAAAATAATCTACATTGTGATAGGAATCCCTAGGCCCATATTATGGCGCTCGAGTTGACTTTTGCCAAGATGCTTATTTTGACCTTGATTCTTCTCCCATTGCAAAATGTCTTTAAAAAGAAATTGTCTCTAAATGCTGCTTTTGTGGGTAATATCATACCTCTAGAGGATGTGCCTATAATGTAAGTAGGTGATTGAATAGAATAAAGTCCTAAAATCAAACATTGCCCCTTTTTCGAAAAGAACATGATAAACTCTGGAAGTTGCTCAATCTTACACCGTGTCGCTTCAATGGCCCGTATTTTGCGGTTGGTCCTTTTGAATTACGACTAATTCAAATCCGAATAGAAACAGAAACTATTCGAATATAAAATTAGGAAAAAAATAAATTCGCATAGAAATAAATTCCGGAAAATTAAAATTAGAGATGACTCCCCCAAAGGAGCGGTGAGATTGTCTTCTACGTGGCGCACGGCGAGACGCTTTAGTCGAACTCAACTTCCGGCGGCAGCGCAGTGGCGATGGAGCTGACATCCCCGGTTCAGTGGAACGCTGCAAGTTCAACTCCACATCTCTCTCACTTCACTCGCCATGTTCCTCCTCAAGGTAGTTCCATGAATCCATCAACACCCATCGTCACCCTCTTCTTCCCTCTCGAAACTGTCGCCGGGAATATAGAATTCAATTAATGTAATTTGCGCGCAACATACTCGGGAGTCCGTGTTGGATGTTTGTTTGTAAAACAAACAAAATAATGCTCTTTCCTTTGTCCCACATAGAAAAGTTTTGAGAAAGTGGGCCGCTTTATAACTGTGAATATCTTCTTGCTCCTTAGAGTAAAGACAATGGGGTGTGTGCTAGTCCACACAATACCCGCGTGCGGGTGCGCGATTATTAGACGCACTTAGAACTTAGCACGCTTGCACCACCGCGGTTTAATTAGCACTAATCCCTTTATATTTTTATTTTATTTCGTAAGGTTATCTTATTAATTTTTATTAGTTGAAAGGTTGTTTTTTGTTTATTAAGTAATTTTCGAAATTATGAAAATTCGGAATTATATATTTATTTATTTATTTTATTCCGAATTTTACATGTGTCTTTCCAAGACAACTTTTGGAGATTATACTTGTTCAGTTTTCAATCTTTTCCGAAAGGTTGCATCTATTCAGTTTGCAACTTCTTCCGAAGGAATATCTTTGTTAGCTTTGCAACCTTTCGTGAAGAGTTACCAATGTTCTTTAAGACCGATTTCTATATATGTCAGTTTTTGGCAATAAAGAAAACAGAGATCAATTTCTTCTAGTCTTCTTTCGAAAACTACAGCCATCATTTCTTTTGTTTCCTAGAGAAACCCTGGAGAAATACTAGAATTGCTATCTAATATTCTCATTTTGAGACTTTGTTGTATCCTGGAGGATTTTTGCCGGTGACCATTAGCAACAATTGTGGGGCAAATAAATCCTTAAAGAAAGTGATATCACGCCTCAAAGTCCGACTTGATTGCTCTTTTGATTCGAAGCCATTTCTTATTTACAACAGTCCGCCCCTGTGCCTCGATGTTATAGTAGTTTTCAGGTCATGATTCAATTGTATGTCCCTGGCACTGAAGATGTGATTGGCAACTTGAAATCGGAGGTTGAGCTCTGGGCGGCCGGGTCTTCCATGTATGTGCAGGGTGTGCTTGTGTGTGCTTACTTGCACAAGTTAATGCATCTGCGCATGCCCGTGTGCCAGTTTGAACATGCGCGCCATAAGTACATGAAGCATGTGAACAAGCACGCACATACAACCAGCGACAATGTGTGCAGTTCCTTCTGTAGTTGAGTCTCCATATGGACATTGTCATTTGATTTACACCCTTTTTGTGTGATTTCTCTTATCTCATTGATTGGCTTGCTCTTCAGTGAACATGCAAAGAAGTTCAAGTCAGAAGAGACGGAGGCTCGAATGGAAGGGAAGAATTGCATAGTTACTTGAGCTAATTCTGGACTTGGTTATGCAACTGCAGAGGGTCTTGCTTCACGGTATTTTGTTTACAACTATGTTATTCAAGTGCTTACTTTGCTTTCTCACGTGTGAATGCTTGTTCAACAATCTCTAAGGGAACATCTCATTTTAATCTTAAATTAGCAAAATAATTTCGAGTTCAATTTTTCCTTAGAGTGGGGCTAATGTTTATATGATTTGCCGCAACAAGGAGAGAGGAGAAGCTGCCCTCTCTTTGATAAAATCTACCACTGGAAACCCGAATGTGCATTTGGAGGTATGTAGTTATTTCCATTTATTATTTTTGTTTTCTCGAGATGTCCTCATCTAAGGATTTTTGGAGGTATGTGTTTGCCTGTTGTATGTCTTCAGAAGTCATACTTCTGGATGATCGGGTAGATCACTGGTTACTTAGATGTTTTATTACACGTGAGTTGATGCCTTACTAATCTAGTGTGCAGGTATGCGATCTTTGATCTGTCAATGGGATCAAGTCAATTGCATCTTCAAAGGATTTGACTCTTCATGTCCTTTGTAAGTCTCCGGCTGGTTTTTAATTTCCCACTCTAATGCTTGTGTGTTTGCATATGTGTGTTTATATACATATGTAATTGGTAAGAATATGTACAGATATTTGTGTCTGCCTGTACACTGGCCCCTTAGTGCTTGATTATTTGGGGTTTCTCAATCCGTGTGATTTTCCCCTTGCTCATTGTTTTCAATTAGCCTAGTTGATATGCAATGAGAGAGAATTATGTGAATTATTTAGCAAGTTTTTTTATTATTTCATTTTCACAGCAATGGAGTGTCCCGGACTCTTTGAGCATTTGATAATCCCCATCTAGTGTGGTAGTTCTCCCGTTTTACACATACTGGGTAATTACCCGAGATACATAGGTCCGTGCTCCTGGGGGTAGCCCCAAGAGATGCGCAAGTGTGGTGATTCCAAGAGAATACATAGGTCCGAGCTAAAACCTAGTGTAAATATTTTGCAAGTTGCCGTAACTATATCTTCCTCAATATTGCCGATAAAGTCTGATACAACTAATGTCATGATCAGGTCAACAATGCTGGCTTGCTTGAGCATAAGCGGATCACCACGCCAGAAGGGTACATCTCCAAGCTTTTTCTGTATCAGAGTTGATGAATTTGTGTTATGGTC